GCGGCCCACTGAGGGGGGACGTTGATTGTTCATATTTTAGATTGATTTAATTTAATAATTTTAATTTAACTGTATTTAAACATGCCTTCAAAATAAAATACAGTTACACCAAAAAATGAATATAATGTGATTTAACATTTTAACTCACTAGAACGCTAAATCAATGAGAACCCTGAGCTTGTTTCTTTGCAACGAGACAGTTCCATCTGGGGATAATAGAAGACAATGACACTCGAAGTGTGTTTCTTATGTCCAGTTTATTCCGTTGTTCCGTCGTCTGTTAAAAGACGCACAAACCCGAGACAAATACACCATAGTAAATAAAATGGAAATAATTTAATGTTCCTTGGGCGGCCCGGTACCATTTGATCCACGGACCGGTACCGGTCCGCGGCCCGGGGGTTGGGGATCACTGCTCTATAGTATATTCTTTGAGAGTAAACATAACACAACAAAGCACATAACTAATGCAGTTCTATAATAATATAATAATAGTAGTATTCAAAAATAAACTTCGATATTAATTATTATTGTTTACTTATTTTTTTATGTAGAAGTAAAAATGGTAAGACAAATGCCAACTGTGGTCAGTTCACAGCAGCCTACAATAGCCATAATTACAGCTCAGTATTGTGAGAAGTTAGCAGTTGATGCTATGATTGAAAACAAAGATACATATGTTCGTTATAAAACTGAAGGTAACTATAAATTTTATTGTTACTGTTTGTTCCTCATAAATTTAATACTATATTTATTATCTTTTGCAATTTGAAACTGTACCTAATTTGATTGAAGACACTATACCAGTGGCATGCTGTGACATTTGATTATAGGGAAGCTGTGTTTCTGTAAGAAGCCGACTTCCAGGGACAACCAATTAATTGCGCTTGATTGTCTATGGTCCATTCATATTCATTTGTTCGATAAGCCAGTAAAAACTGTAGACTTCTAAATGTATTTTTCATATCACAATTACATTCTGAATCGTGGCTAGCGATTCAGAATGTAAATGTGTAGATTTATAACTTAGCCCAACCAATAGGAATTTACTGGTATATTTTTATGATACTTCTGTATAATTGACAGGAGTAAAAAAAAATTCATTAAAATATTTGATATTTTTATTCTGCTCTCCCACCTTATATTATTTATGGATCTAAGAGCTACAATTAAAAATAAAATAATAAAAACATACTTGGTAAAATATGTGATGGATATACAATTATACATACCTGGTACAAAATATTCAATTGTATGAATATATTTTAAAGAAAATTATAATTAAATATAGCTTTGTAAAGAAACATACATAAAAATAACAAAATATTATTTTCTTTTTAAATCTTAAAACAATCCACCTAGTCAAATAGCTCCCTACGAGTGGCTAATGGATGGAATCAGAGTAGGTTGCACAGCACTCGAACTGCCAAATTTCAAGGGTGCGGATACTGGTCAATGTCAAATGCCTCTTTTGTCGCATCACTAGTATACCTCAAAGGACGCGACAGGGTTGTTGTACATTTTAAACGTTTCTCACTATAGCTGTAAAAATCTACATATGTTAAACTTAATAGATTGTCCATTTTTTGTTTTCTAACTAATTCATTTTAGGACCACAGAAATTTCCAAAATTTACAACTTTTTGGTCACTCTCATTGAACTGCAAAAATTTCTGTCTTTATTACGTCTTATATTACAAAAAAATCAGTTTCCACTGTACTCGGCTAGAGATTGGTTCGGTTATGCCTTTGTTTAAGTAAAATTTCAGCTCTTTTATCAGGCATCAGGGTTTTATTTATGTCCTCAATTTCTTAATTGCTTAATTATTTAACTTCTTTTTAAGTAGAAATAAGTTGAAACTGGTTACTTTGTACATGAATATCTGTAGTCTCGGGAAAAAATAGAGAGACAAATTCTTATGACAACAGATACATAAATCGTAAATTTAAGGAAAATAAATTCTTGAGCTTTTTCTGTATCTCATGCATCTCTCTCATTCATTAAATTTAGTTGTAAATGATGCTGCCAAAGTAACAGTTAATTTTTTAACATTGTACAAGAATTGTACACATTTTTTTTCTACATCCCCTTAAAGATGGGACATATGAAATTGTAATACAGTAGAGCCTCGAAAACTCAGCACTCTGGCCACACCTTGACAGGGCGAAAACGAACTTAGGCGAACTTAACTTTCCCGTTTAAACATAATTCTTTTATATGGAATGAAGATAGCACTGATTGACCAATGAGCGCTTTGTAGTCCTATTGGAGGTCCATGTGATCGTCCGATGATTGACGGCCAATCATCTATTCTGTTTTCAAAACTAACGGTCGTTTCTCGATCCTTATTTCTATGGCGACAGCCGTTGCTTGTTTGAAAAAGAGGAAAATTGCGGGAACCATACATCTAAACCAGCGCTGTCCAACTGGCGGCCCGCGGGCCGTATACGGCCCGCCAAATAATTTTTACGGCCCGNTTAAATATAGCTTTGTAAAGAAACATACATAAAAATAACAAAATATTATTTTCTTTTTAAATCTTAAAACAATCCACCTAGTCAAATAGCTCCCTACGAGTGGCTAATGGATGGAATCAGAGTAGGTTGCATGGCACGCGGACTGCCAAATCCCGAGGGTGACGATACCGGTCAATGTCAAATGCCTCTTTTGTCGCATCACTACTATACCACAAAAGATGCGACAGGGTTGTAAATTTTAAACGTTTCTCACCATAGCTGTAAAAATCTAAATATGTTAAACTTAATAGATTGTCTATAATTTGTTTTCTAACTAATTCGTTTTAGAACCAGGTGTCCACAGAAATTTCCAAAATTTACAACTTTTTGGTCCTCTCATTGAACTGGAAAAATTTCTGTCTTTATTATGTCTAATATTACGAAGAAATCAGTCCCCATTGTACTCGGCTGAGATTGGTTCAGTTAAGCTTTTGTTTAAGTAAAATTCCAGCTCTCTCAACAGGGTTTTATGTCCCCAATTCCCTAATCGCTTAATTCGACTTATTTCTACTTGTTAAGTAGAAATAAGTCGAAACCAGTTACTTTGTACATGAATATTTATAGTCTTGAGTAAAAAGTGGAAAGACTAATTTTTATGAAAACAGATACATAAATCGTAAATTTAAGGAAAATAAATTCTAGAGCTTTTTCTGTACCTCGTGCATCTCTCTCATTCATTGAATTTAGTTGTAAATGATGCTACCAAAGTAATAGTTAATTTTTTAACATTGTACAAGAACTGTACACATTTTTTCCTACATCCCCTTAAAGATGGAACATACTAAATCGTAATATCACTGGTTTAACATTGAAATCCATAAGTAATATAAGATGGAAGAGCGGAATAAAAATATCAAATATTTTAATGAACTTTTTTTTTAACTCCTGTCAATTATACAGAACTATCATAAAAACATACCAGTAAATTCTTATCGGTTGGGTTAAGTTATAAATCTACTCATGATTCACATAATGGGGTGAGGGCGGCCAAATATCTAGCAGGCAGGCGGCTAACAGCCCAGAATCAGTCCTGGATAAAATCATTGAAAGCGTTATACATGTGTAGCTTCCACCAGCTAAACCAGGTGAGGTTGGTGCTCTGTAAAGTGCATGCATGAATGAGGATAATCTGACTGTTTGGAAGCTGACAATACAGCGCTTCCATTCCGCCACTGATATTCGAATATACAATATATCTTTGACAAAAAGCATTCTAAAAGATATATCACTCACAAATGACTTTTGCAGAAAATGGCATATTCTGAAAGAAATAATACAACATATAACCTCTGGTTGCAAGCTCTTAGCACAAACAGATTATTTACATAGGCATAATCAAATAGCAAATATAATACATCAAGAGATTGCACACAAACACAGATTATTAAACACCCAGATACATATTGCAAATATATTCCACAGTCCTCTCTTCTACTAGTATTATACCACATACACTAGTAATGCTTCTAGACAAAAGTCTAGAAGCATTAAACCTTAATAAAATCATATATATGACACTACAGAAAGCCACAATATTGAACATGTCATACTGTTAGAAAATTTCCAGACAGGGACACACACCAATAACACAGAAGCTTAATGTTGATTTGTTTGGGTAGGTATATCTTGACTTTAGTCAAACATAGCAATAGGCACCAGTATCTGTTGAGATTTGCAACATAATTATAAATATCTAAATATATAAAATTACTTGTCCTGACTGACTGATTCATCATCGCCCAGAGCAAACACTGAACCTAAAGAGGTGAAATTTTGTACACTGTTAGGGTACGTCATGAAAATGCACATTAAAGAGGGATTTTTCGAAATTCCCCCACAGGAGGAGAAGGAAAAGATTAAGACTTAACCTGAAGAACGACTTCTACTGTACTATTTTAGATGCAATTTTTTGTTTTTAACTACATTTTAGTATGGTACGTAATGAGAATACACACTAAGAAGGGATTTTTGGAAATTCCCCCCCGCAAAAGGAGAGGGAGAGGATTAAAGTCTTAACCTGAAGAACGGCTTCTACTGTACTATTTTAGATGCGATTTTTTATTTTCAACTATGTTTAGTCTTCATTGAGTTCTTAGGTTATAACATTTCAGACATTTTTATAAATATTTTTATATACTTCAATTGTTTAATCAAATGTTCGAACCGTTTTAAATTCGTTATTGCATATTGGTTTGATTATAAAACGATTGTAAACATTCCAGAAAATTGATTAAATTGAAAATAGTTTGTTTGATTCTCAGTAATTCTCATTATTCTCAGCGATAGGTGTTATTGATATATAACAATTACTATGGTTGTTGAAATATTGAATATAAATGGGGTTAGCTTGCGAAATCTGTGCATGTGAAGTTGTAGGTAACAGCTAGTATATACATTGTGTGTGTGTGAACAATATGCATTATGCATTATTACTGTAAGAATATACTTCTTTATCACCAATATCAATTTCTTTATAATTAGGCTATACAAAAACAATTACTTGAAAATTTGAATTAAAATATGAAATTGTTACTTTAAGTACTTAACAATTTTATACTACTTTAATAATAAAATATTTTAGTAGGTGCATTTCTGTTGTTTTGGTCCAAAAGGAATAGGTAATGCATAGAAATGAATTAACACTAGAATCACTAGATTTGTGAACTAGCTGTAACCACTGTTGTTGATCATTAGTTTATGTAAATAATAAAAAAATTTCATAAAAAATTTCCATTTATGAAAAAACTTATATATAATATTTTATATGAAATTATAATAATGAAATAGCATAAAGCATTATAAACAATTCTTAAACATTTTAGTTTATGTAGTTTTATGCTTAGAACAGTTAACTATACAATTGTTTGTGTTGCAGCAATATATTTTTCACAAACTTTTTACTTTGATTGCATATATCTATGGTTTTATTTTCTCATTTTTCATTTGATAAGTGCTGTTATTTATTTTTCATTGTTTATTTGCCTTGATGAGATATATGTTTAAAGACTTTGTTCTATTTTCTTAAATTTGTAAACTGTTTGGATAATTCTTTTGAAAGATATAAAAAGTAGTCTCGTATTTTCATGGTCTTTATCAGTTAGTTCTTTGTAAATTATAAATGCATATTTTAATAGCAGCAAGGTCGAGAATGTTATAAAAGGCTTGTACTGGCTGTCTTCTAGAACTTGTTTTCACCAGATATTTTTACCATTTCATCTAGATATAGACTTAATACTTCATGTTGTTATAAAATAATATTGTTTTTGGTAACCATTTGCAATGAAAACAGATGAATGTAAACTATTTAGTAAAAGAACATTTTTGTTAGCCTTTCCCTGATATAGTGTTAAGAAACAACACAGTTATATCAATTATACACACAGTAGTAATAAACTGTGGTCAAATTAATCAGTTTGGCAGTTTTAGACAATAAAGAACTCACTATAGCTGTTTGATTTCATATCA